ATATATGATTTAAAAATAATTATAAAAACACAATATTTTTTATTTTAAGTTCCACATACTTAATTGATTTTCATAGAATGCTTTTGTCAATTATTGCCAAATGTTTTCATATAGTCTATCTCTGTTTGAAATTCAAACATGATTTCACAAATGGAATTGGTTCCCAATCCTTTAACTCATTATCCAATAAATTTGTTTTCTTTATATTTCATATGTGTTCTACTGTTAAACTAATTCTCACCCTCAACAATATTTTGTTGATTAAACTGAAACCTCTTTCACTTCAGCACCAGACAAGACACCTGTATTAAATTTTACTCCATATTTTTATGTCTAGAAAATCAACAAAACAATGAATAAAGTCTTATCTGTTGCACTTATCAATTTCTTGCTATTGTCTGTTTTAATCAACCAAACTGACATCACTGAACACAGAGTTTGGAAGAAGTGTGCAGTAGCTCACCACTGTATAATATTCCTATTATACAGATCAAATAGATGTAAATAACCCTCAAGAGCATAGATAACAGTAAAATGTAGTAAAATTATTCAAAAGTAATTACTTTTGAATATTTATTCTTTCCCATCTTAACATGGTTTATTTAATTATAAATTTATACAAGTTAACATTGAATAATGACCACATTTAGTAACTGGTTCATGAGATTCCTGAAAATTGTAGACTTGGCTCTTGTGAGCTGCTAGAGTATCAGCCTTTTATGAGCTTACTCCAGCTTGCCACTGAACTCCAAAGTTGCTCCTCAAACTTAGGCACTCATTCCCATATGGCTCTTGTACATAATCTTTTCTGATCCATCCTGCATCCTGATCCATTGCTTAACTCTCTTTCATTCTGCCATCTGAAACTCAAGTTAAGTCATCAGTAAAATCTCCTATATCACCAGTCACTTTGGGATAGTATTTTTAAAAATTCATTCTCTGACACCCAGCATTTTCATGATGCCATTGTTTGTCCTGCAGCTCTCTCAGGTGGTGAATAATTTTCTCCTTCTTTTCTCCTTCTGCTACTAGGTCTAAACATATGGTAGATAACTGCTCTTTACTGTTACTTCCATAACATATTTTCATCTTCCTGAAATGTTCAGCTTTAAATCTCGTATCATCAAACTACACCGAAATAATCTCACTTGTAAATCCCAAAGCACTCCCAATAATTTCTTGAAAATAATAGTTTCCAATTCAATTCACTGTCGTTCTTCAACATGGAAGGAACACACAAACATGCTGTGTAGTTCTGATTCATGACCATAAAGTTCAAGTGAACTTCTAATGCTACTCAGAAATCAGACTATAATTTCCTAGATTATTAATTCTACCACTCTCCAAGAGGCCTGCTTCTCACCTTTACCTCCTCAAACTTCCAACACTATCTCCCCCATGCTTACTCTCTGCTAATGACCATGCTTCCTACCTAGAAGGCAGAGGAAAAAGAGGAGAATGAGGAGGAGGAAAAGAAGAAGAAGGAATCAGAAAGTGTCTCCTATAAGCTGCCAGCACCAAAACTGCCCATCTACCTGTATCTGTGTTCCTGCTCTTACCACAGATACATTTTTCCTGTTCCAATCTACAATTTAAAGTTAAACACTCCACTTGTGTACTGGATCTCATCCTGTCTTGCCTACTCAAAGTCATTACCCCAAGAATTTTCTTCTCTTTCTGTCCTACATCATTAATTTTTCCTTTTATTTTGAGTCATTCCAATAAACATATAATAGTAATGATATTTCTTCCTTCTTAAAAACTTTATAAATTACTTTACTTTGCCTCCAATTATGGTTCAATTTCCCTCTTGTCCATTACAGAAAATGTTTTGAAAGAATTTTATCTGCTTACAGAGTTTTATTTCCTCCTTACTCTCACTAATCTCTCGAATACACGTAAGTCAGAAAATGACCTTCATATCTCTATGAAATTACTCTTATTAGGGATACCAATGGCTCCTATATTGACAATTCCTATGGAAAATTCACAGTCCTCCTTTTCCTTGACCTTTCAGTAGCTCTTGGCACTATTGGTAATTCTTTCTTGGCTTTGATAATACTGACCTCATTTCCCTGCCTTTTTTTTTTTTTTTTTTTTGTCAACTATTCTGTGTCTCCTTTGTTTGTATGCTTTCATCTTCCTCATCTATTACTTCTGGAGTGTTCGGGGCTTTGTTTCAAACTTAGTCTTTCTATCTATTCTCACTCTCTATATGAACTTATCCAGTCTTAAAATTTTAAATATTATCTATGCTGATCCTAACCAAAATTATGTTACTAGCTCAGGATTGATACCTTGAACCTTAAATGTGGCTTATGATCTTTGGGTATCAAAAGACAAATAAGGCTTATCATCTTTCACACTAAGCTGCTGATATTGATCCTCCCTCACCCAAACTTATATCTCCCATACCCATCCCCAATTCAGTTGACAGTTGCTCATATCTTAAAGCTAGGTCATTTTTTACTCCTTTTTTCTTCTCATACCTCAACTCCATTGTCCAAATTCACCTTTAGCTCTACTTTCAAAATATTGCTAAAATAAAATGTCTTCTCATTACTTCCAGTGCTATCACTTTGGTCTAAAGGCATCATCCTGAACTATTGTAGAAGACTCTCCTTAACTAGTCTAAATTCTCTACCCTTGATCCATTTCCTTCTCTTCTGAACATAGCTACTATTAAAGATAAGTTATTCACCAGACACATGTTGAAAACACCAAGATAGATCTTATTCTGAAATAATAAGAATTGAAATTTGAAATTACTCCTTCATCTATGCAGAATAAATGTGTTAGCAAGCATAAAAACAACATTAATCTTCTTGTACATCCCCATCAAAACTCTTGAAAGACTAGGTTCATGATCAATGAACAGTAATATTTTGAAAGGAATACTTTTTTCTGAGCAGTAAGTCTCAATAGAAGGGTTAAAATATTTGTTAAATCATGCTATAAACAGACATGCTCTCCTCCAGCCTTTGTTGTTCCATTTGTAGAGCACAGGCTGGGTAGATTTAGCATAATTCTTAAGAACCCTAGGATTTCTGGAGTAGTAAATGAATATTGGATTCAACTTAAAATCACCACCTGCATTAGCACCTAACAAGAGTCAGCCTGTCCTTTGAAGCTTTAAAGCCAGGCATTGACTTCTCTCTACCTATTAAAGTCTTAAGTGGCATCTTCTAATGTAAGTCTGTTTTGTCCACATGGAAAATTTGTTATTGAGTGTAGCCACTGTTATCAGTGATCTTAGCTGGATCTTCTGAATAACTTGCTGCAGCTTCTACATCAGCAGTTATTTCTGTGCTCTACACTTTTCTGTTATGGAGAAAGCCTCTTTTCTTAAACATAATGAACCAACCTCTGCTAGCTTCAAACTTTCTTCTGAAGTTTCCTCAGCCTTCATAGAATTGAAGAGTTAGGACCTTGCTCTAGATTAGGCTTTGGCTTAAGGGAATATTGTGACTGGTTTGATAATCTGTTCATACCACTAAAACTTTCTCCATATCAACAATAAGGCTGTTCTACTTTTTTTCATTCATGTGTTCACTGGAGTAGCTCTCTTATTTTCCTTCAAGAACTTTTCCTTTGCCTTCATAACTTGCCTAACTCTTTGGCACAAAAGGCCTAGCTTTCAGCCTATCTTGGCTTTCATATGCCTCTCTAGAGCTAGAAAAGCTAGCTTCAAAAAGCTAGAAACTATTAAGCTTAATCTACTTCTAGTTTTTGATTTAAAATGAAAGATGTGAGACTCTTCCTTTTACTTGACCACTTAGAGGATATTGTAGGGTTATTAATTGCCCTAATTTAAATATGGTTGTATTACAGGGAATAGGGAGAGCCAAAAAGAGAAAGAGAGACATGGGGATGACTGGCTGGTAGAGCAGTCAGAACACACAAAATGTTTATCAATTAAGTTTGCTATCTTACATGAACAGTGTGTGACATTCCAAAACAACTACAATAGTAACATCAAATATCATCTATCACAGATCTCCATAACAGATATAACAATAGTGAAAATGTATGAAAAAATTGCGAGAATTTCCATAATGTGACACAGAAACATGAAATGAGCACATACTATTCGATAAATGGCACAATAGACTTGCTCAATGCATTGTTGCTACAGCCTGTCAATTTGTAACAACCACAATATCTGTGAAATACAATAAAGTAAAGCACTATAACATGAGGTATGCCTGTATAAAGATGTGCCATTTAATAGAGAGAGAGAAAAAAAAGCCAAGTGAGGCTCATGCTCATTCCACTGTGTGTAAATTGGTTATCTTAGTCCTGCTATTGAAATCAGAGTTTATAAGGAACCACATGATATTCCATGTATTTGTGTAATTTCTGGAGTATATTATAGAGCCACATTGTAGGTGTGAATGTCTTAGTTTTGCATATTCAAGCAATATTTTAGATTCTTACCCTTTTTATTTCCTTTGCAATATTTCAACCTACATTCCTTTTGATTTGGAATGATTTTCCTGTATTAAATGACTTTAATTCAGTTACTATATTATAATTTATGAATCCAGAGACTAGAATTTTAAAAGAAGATCATTGGAAATTTCATAAAGTAGATACATTGCAGGTAGATAATTGAGTTTTTTGTTACTCTTTCTGTAAACCGTGAGACACAATAAAACCAAGTTTAGATAATGGTATAAGAATTTATAATTGTGTATCCAATCAAGCCTGGATTTCAATGGAGGAATTATAAACAGAGATTTGAACACATTGCTTTGCCAGAATTTTCTCCTTGGTGCATTAATCATAGAGTTCTTTAGCTAGATATAAGAGAATACCTGTAGTTTAGCAATATTCTGTCATATCATATATTAATACTTCATTACATTTTCAAATTGTCATTTTAAACAGTATTTTCATAGGACATAATTTATACTTTGTACTACTATATGAGATTATGCACTAATATCAGATTTCAGAAACAGAACGTTTCTATCTACAAGAATATGAAGTACCTTTGATTTTTTTTCAAAGTTCAGAGAACATTTTTCTCATTAGATGCTCTCCAGTGTCCTTAACTTTGTCATGCTTTCAATTTTCTTTGCATGCTGAGAAGGATCACAGCCAATCTTTTTATCACTCTGGTATGTGTCCTGAGTTTCTGTTCCTAAAAAAAGTAAAATTCCCTTAAAATCAAAATGTCACAATGAAGTTGGTTAAAATTGTAGGGTTTTAATTTTAAGGCAACTAATTTTCACCAAAGTCCTGTACAATTTTTTTTCTTACTTTTTCTAGGTTCTCTCTGCTGAAACATAATAGAAACCTTGCCATTTGTGTGTACATATTTTAAATTAATCTATATTGTATTTCTGTGAAAAATTATTTACCTTTTAGTCTTTTTATACTATTCACATTCTTAATTTTTAAAAAAGTTTACAAAGTACCTTTTCTTTAGTTTTAATAGAGCAAATATTTTCTCCGATTTGGTGGTTGTCTATACCCTTTCATGATGATGTACTTTAAAGTCCAAAACATTTTAATTTTGATGAAGTTCAATTTACCTATCTTTTTATTTTGTAGCTTGTCTTTTTTGTGTTGTTTCTAAGGATACATCATTGTTGAATCCAACGTTATGAAATTTACTCTTCTGCTTTCTTTTATGAGTTTTTATGGTTTTAGCACTTAAATTTAGCCTCTGATCCATTTTGATTTAGTTTTGTATATCAAGTGAGCTAGGAGACCATCTTCTTTCTTTTGCATGTAGATATGCAATTGTGTCAGAACCATTTCTTCTCAACTGAATGGTGTTGGTACATTAACAATGAAAAAAATCCCTGCACTTTCTCGTCTTTCGATTGTAAACATTGAATTATTCTGAATATATCTCAGTGAAACTGAAATATGTGATTCATATGCTGTTTCAAAACCACTTTACTCCTTAACATATTATTTTGCCTTTGCAATATAATGGCAATTTTATATAATACGTATAGATAGGATTGTTTTGATGGTGACAAATTCAGAATCAGTAAGTCATATTTATAAAGGAAAGATAAGTGAATAGTGATGGAATAGACTGAATTGCATTTATTTTTTGTATTATAATTGCTTTGCTAAGTAATCAGTTATAAAGTTTTTGAATTAACTATAGAAATATTAAAAAACTGTTCTTTTGGGGATCAACTGATTAATCACAAATTGCATCATTTATCAGTTTGATTTTTAAAAGGTTGCTGCTAAGTAGAGACAATAAAATAATTTATCTTAGTATATATGAGAAATATTTTAAACTTACATGAATTCAGAAATAGTTTCTAATCTAGAAAGAAAAAATACCAACCCCTGAATTTCATTTTGTTATTTATTCATCCAGTTTTATGACTATATTAGTGGATAAACTAGAAAAATTAACAAACTGTAGTTTTCTTTGTGAGAAGCAGAACCAGATGAGTTCCCCTTTGATTGTCACTATACGCTCACAACTGCCGAATGTATTGGTGTTTTCTCAGACTTTATTTCAGGCTGGGTTCCTGAGATAAGAGACTCCAAAATGGAAATTTGTGTGTATGACTTTACTGGGTAGTTCTCCAGGGAATGATCTCTGTTAGGAAGTAAGGAAAGTAAGATTAGGCAGAGGAAGAAGTTTAACTGCTGTACTGTTACTACAAAGGCCTCAGCCAATTTCACAGCAAGCTCTGAAGCTGGAGCCAGGGTTTGTACTCACTTATTAGCAAGTCCTTGGATGTGAGATGCCTCTGCAGAAAGGGCATAACCTTGGGCAAAGCAGCAATCTTTGGGCAAGGACAATTCTTTGGGGATGCAGTTAGGTATTAGCCATTGGAAAACAATCCTTCTAGCAGCTGGGGGGATTAGGACCTTGATTCCCAGAGATACCAAGCAGCATACCACCTCAGCAATATACATTTCCAATCCCGCTTTGCACTACTCAGATCTAGATACTAACTTCACTCTTTCTGGAAATATCTCCTTTATCATTCTGGTTTCTTAGAAAAACACACAGAAATAATATTAGTGGGAGTAACTACAGCCCTGTCACTGCCAATTGGTTTCTGGGCCATGATGACACTTATTATCTTCTTCCACTACTACTTTCCACATGCTAACAGCTCTGCTGGTATACTTGTCTGACCTGGCAGGGTAATACATACCCTCATCCTTGAAAGCTTTGAGCTACCATATATTTGTGTTGTGTTATAAGCTGTAGCAAGATCTGTAATTCTGGAAAGAATCTCCAAGTGAGAATTCTTCTTGGATGAACTTGTGATCATCCATTGTTATCCTTCAGGATCTCTCTGAGCTTTTGTTGTAGACAAATTCATGAATTCACTGGGAATAAAAATGGGGGCAACTACCACTGCACCCTTTTAGATCTTTAAGAGTTGCATTAATTTCTGCTATTTTCTCCAGGAAGTGATATTGTTTTTAGCTTGCTGACTCGACAAGTGGGCAGTTTCAAAGCTGCAGATTCGCCTTCTGCACTATGAGAGAACTTACCCCATAATCCAGGTAACAATATGGGGGTTCTGCTAAGCACCAAGTATGTCTATTTCAATTACACATTTGTAAATTGATTATATGTCTACTGGGTGAGTCCTAAGACCTGGTGGTTCCACTCTGCACTGATCCTGGCTCAGGATTACCTTTAGTACTTGCCCACCATAAGTTTCCATTGTAACTGAAATTTGTGTTCTAGATATTAATGTTGACTTGGACTCAAACAGTCCTTAGGATCTTTAAATACTGCTAGTACATTTCTTCTCAGTACATTTACCCTTTGGAGAAGAATGGGGAAATATTTATCAAATATACTTTTTTATGGTTTTGTAAGATTCTTCCTACTTTGGGACTTGAAAGCTAGCTTAGATACAGAAATTAGGCAAAGAATACTGACTTCTTTTGTGGTGGCTACCCTAAGCCTTTGATCTTTCATCCTGCATTTATTTTGGTTGTACACAGTGAAAATTATATCTGTTGATTTCCATCTGTATTTTCTCCAGAGATGCTGTGTTCTATTAACTGTCTCTATAGTGCTGTACCAATGAGATCCCCTTGTTGCCATTCAAAACTTTGATGCTATTATGGTAATTATGCCCAACTTGTTTCTGAATTTTAGATACTGTTACCTGATTTCTGTTATTTCAGGATTTTATTCCTTCCATTGCTTTCAGGTAGGCTAGTCTGGTAACAGCATCTTTCATGGTCATCCCTTGTCCAAAGAGTGTACAACTGACCTTCTTGACAGTACTGATGACTTGTTCACCAGCACATTCTTTATTACTTTGATAAATAAGTTTTTTCTTGAATTTCTAATTCTCTTGAAGAACATAAACATCTTACCAGGTTTCCAGTCTTATTTACTTTATCCTCTTCTCTGAATCTTTTCATGCATTCTTCCACCATCTCTTATGACTACACTGGCATTTCCAAGTCACCTGTGGACCATCACTTTGTCCAACCTTCCAAGATCCATCCTAGCAGCGTGCTAGCACTTTTCAGGATGTTTACATTTGTATCATGGAAGAGTGCCTCCACATCAATAGACTCTCCCTAATCAGGGTTTTAGAGCTTTATGTTCTATTCTCCTTGATCAGCACTCTCAGGATCCAGTCCCACACATGCTCTGCCAGCTTCTTCTGGTATATTTTGGCTGGATCCTTCAGTTCCTCAGATATATAATTCATTATCTCCTTTAGAAAGTCTAGCACTCCCATGGATTGGTTAATTTGTGATTTCATTCTCTTATTTCTGTGGTGACCAGGAGAGGAGGGATGGGAGAGGATCCTAAGAAGGTGCAGCATTGAACATCAGATCATTTTCTATGACACTAAAGAGGTCTGCTAGCTTTCACACTCTGTCCTACATAGGTAATTAATTACCCTTTGCCACTCACTGACTTCCTTTGGAGCCTCCATGACATTTAGCAATCATCATATTCTGCCTGTATTAAGTAATGTATACAAGAAATATGAATAGGTCAGGTATTTAAATTGTAGCCAGTCTTATACAGTTAAGGCATAAGCAGATAACAAAAGCTCTGTTACATTTGAGGATTAAACCCAAAACTTGACTATTACATATAGAATTTAAGTATCATTGAAATCATCTTAATTTGAAAGGAGTGGTTGTTTATTTCAATTAAATAAACACTTGGCCTAGTTAAGGTATTGCTTCTTTGGGTTACCATGCTTCTTCCAGCTACTTGATAACTTATAAAATATTTATTCACTACCATGTTGCCTCATACAACTTTGCTTCTGAACATGGTTATTATATTACAGCAAAGTACACCAAATAATTAGTTTATGCTAATTGAGTTCACTGGTCCTGCCCTATACTCTATCACTTTAAAGCAGCTGGCATTGCATAACATAAGAGTGGCCAACTGAAGATATTTATTATGCCATTCAGAGACAGCATCCTGCAAAGTTGAGCTTCTGTCCTACAGGTTGTAGTATTTGTATTTGACTGCATACATTTGACTGGATAAATCTAGTCAGAATATATGGGTCTGAAATCAAGGGTTGGAAGTGGGAGAGATTCCTTTTACTGTTTCACTTAATAAAGCACTTGAACAATTTTATTCCCTTTCTTGAAGCTTGATTAACAGTGTTATTTTGCAAGGGATGAATGCTTTTATCAGGGAACACAATGGTTGGCATGAACTTGAAGGTATATGGCTCTCTGGCTATTTGGGGCTCTCATGTCACTGAATCAACAAAGTAAGGAGTGATTAAATAAACTGGAGTGGAAGTTAGGTCTCTGCTAAATAATGCAAGCAGGGAAAGCCATGACTAGAACTCAAGACATTCTTTTATATACCACTTAATGTTTCCATATTCAGCAGTAAAATTAGTGAAAGACAAAATGATCTGGCAGTACCTACTAATACAAAACATGTGCATTTCCTAGAATCCAGCAATTCTACTTCTTATTCTGTGTTGAAGTCAGTCAAGAAATTTCCATCATTATGAAGATAAGTGAAAAAGTCTCTTCCTCATTCACACATGAAATATGATAATATAAAAATATACATTTTCTCAGATATATTCCCAAGCTTAGTTAGACTATTTAATTTACTAAGTGATAAAAGTATAATTTTATTATACCAAAATTGATAACCTTAGTGTGGCATAATTTTTCATTCCC